TTTTAGCACGTAAGTCAGCTGTTTCAATTTACCCTTGAACTAGTAGCCCTCGCATTCGGCAGGCTTGATGGCAGAGACTGGAGCATCTAGCTTTTCGGGAAACCAGTGAGTTAAAAGTTTTAACTTAATAGTTCAATTATCGATTGCGACCTTAAGTAGTGACTGGTCGTGCCAGCCGATCAGAAACTCAGTGTTTTTATCCTCGCACACAAATCTGGTACCAATGTACCGTCTACCTGGAGTATAGAACTACAGATCGACCTCGGCGGAAGGCTATATGTGATTTGAGTCTCAGATTACGCCCATGGTAATCGTGTCGACTGCGGCTACACCACATTCGCCGCACATTCCCGCTATGGTAGTCAAAACGTTTCACAAGATACTGGTCATAAAACTACAGCTAGCATCCAGGCTCAATTTGACAGCCGAGGTATTTCAAAGGGAACTTTTTATGAGGTTAAAGTGAGGCCAAGGAATCGGAAATGATAGGAGCCTTGTGAGCCATGGTATATTCTTCGTTAAGAAAGGCTGCTGTCAATACAAAAACAATGGTGCCTCAACATTTTTGGCATGCATATCCCATTGTTAGCAGAATGTCAAAAAACCGGATCCGGCAACTGCCATCCATTGATGCTCCTCGATACCCATCCACTCCTTTTGCGCGCAATCGCCCACAACGCCAGCTCGCCCACTTTCCCCATTACCCAGATCCATACCTATATTTTCCTCGTCGCGCAATCTCTCGCTCTCCCGAATCTCCCCAGTCGTAAAGACTGAACGTGGTCTTAAACTTGCGGACTGGCGAGCATATAAGAGATAGCAAAAACGTATAGTTTAGTATACGTATAGTATAACTTTCAAATTATTCACTTCTTAAATGATGGGAAAAGAAACTAAGCAGTAAACAGTAAGATTACCTGGTAAACAGGAAGAGCAGGCTTTCGTGACAACTCGTAGGGATTTTCGGTAGGACCACTTTCATCGTCCTTCTTCTTCGCCTAAAGAGAAGTGAGGAGTCTTCAAGAAAAAAAGAGCATATGAGAAAGTACTAAGCAAACAAACCCCAACGAGGCCAAATCCTTCGAAACGCTTTTTGCGCTCCCTTTCTTCGCGATCGAACTGATCCTCGATTTCGTCTTCGCTGCCTGTTGCACTGCCCTAAAACAAGCATACTGATTAGTCAAAAGTGGCAAAGAAGTTATGAGAATGGTGCAGATGGCTTGCGCCTCTCTGCGCACAACGCACAAGAATACCTTTGGTCGGAGATGTTCGGGTATATGGAGCTCGAACTCCGCACACGTTATCCATTTACCCCCTTCCCCCCCTTCTCCTTCTGTTCTGACGTACATCTGAATCCACTGTTCATGTTTAAATATGAAATAGCAACACGAAAAACAACAAAGCGGTCAATAACTTACGCTTCTCCGGGCTTGTGATCATCAGATTCCTCGAGTTTCTCGTCATCCACTTTTGAGGATTTAACAAAACTGCTATGGGAGCCCCGGTCTGAGTCTCCTATTGAATGCCACCTTCCTCTGTTTTCAGAAGACACTGAGCGCGATGACGAAGAGGAGGAAGTTTCCGATGAGCTAGAACTAGTTCGATTTCGTCCACGGCTACGTTCCTTTTTGGCGTCGCGTGATGTTTCTGTCCTCGTCTTCGACGACCTCCTCTCCTCTTTTCTCTTCGGTGACACTGATGCGGAGCTGTGTCGCCTCTTGCGTGCTGATCCAGAACTCTTCGAAAGCCTTGGAGACGGTGTCCTTCTTCGATTACTTCGTGCAGATGAATACTTTTGCTCCCGCTCCTTTGATGTGGACCTCATGTGGCCACGGTCATAACGCCTTGCTGTACTGTTTCTAGAACGTCTATCTCCCTCTGAAGATGATGAGCTACTGTTGCGACGACGCTTTGATCTAGAGCTCCCCTTCGCCGATGACAACGTCTTTTCCTTTGCATCCACTGACGAAGATGACGTGCTCGACGAATTCTATCTCTTTGGATCGGGAACGAACTGCCGACGCAGACCCTGCTTTGTGGTGGTGCCCATCAGACTTTTGAACGTTTGGCGTTTCTTTCAGCAGAACTACTTCGCCTCTGTAGAGGTTTTGGTTCTCTATCGAAATTGTGACCAGATCGGTCATGGTTTCTCTGAAAAGAAAAACTCTTTAGGGTTTAGAAACATCTGCAGTCTTATCAAGTTTCATCATCTGCCATATTCCGCTCCACCTAATCAAGACGAAAAGTTTAGACTGTAGAAGCCAACATTGGCACAATTATGACTGTATGGGTGCAAGGAAGTTGAAGTGAAACCTGCACACTTACCTTCAAGTAGGGTCGTTTCCATGTGCGAGATAAATGGGTCCGCAGCTGCAGTAGCAAGCTACTCCCTCCACTCAAAAACGTACGGAACGGGGCTACAGGTGGTGCCGTCTTCATACCCCGCCCGCGCAATCGTGCAGCGCTGCATCGATACCGTGTCTCGCAGCGAAACGGCTACTTCGCGCTGCAGTTGGCCAAAACCCAAACGGGAAAAAAGATTTTCTTTTGAAGGCTGAGCAGAAAGTACGCCGCGTCTTGACTATGGGCAGCATGCACGCAGCTATGCAGTGGCTGGCCGTGCGTGCAACTACGAGTTGAGAGAGGCAGCTGGGTCTTGCTACCATCAGCCCCGTCCCGTGCATATTTCATCGACGAAATCGGCCGCTACTGCAGCTGCGAACCCATTCACCTCAGACACGGCCAAAACCGGGATCTACGGAGGTAGTGTACAGTTTGTCTTGAAGGATAGTTAGGTGCGGTACACTCAGGTCATTCAATAATCAAGCAAGCCATCATCAACCTACGAAGCGAAAAAAAAAAAAAAAAAAAAAAAAAAAAAAAAAAAAAAAAAAAAAAAAAAAAAAAAAAAAAAAAAAAAAAAAAAAAAAAAAAAACGGTTGATGTAACTACTTCAATTCGGTCAGATACCGTTGACTCAAGAAAAACCTGTACCTACTTTTTATTCAAAAATGAATCCATTATAAAAGGAAGGATACCTGTGGACTAAGGTGCTTTCTCTTCGGGGAACTCTTCGTCGAGACGTCCTTCTCCGATGACTCCCGAGATTTCTTTTTCTTCTGCAATTATGCGAAAATTACAAAGGTCCTTGTAAACACTAACCACCAAATTCCAACCTTTTGCTTTTTTGGTTTCTCGACGTCTTCCGCCTTCTTCTTCTTCTTTTTCTTCTTCTTCTTGTTACCCTTGGATTCCTTCTCTGCCATCATTTCTTTGAGCATTTTTTGAAATTTCAGTTTGACTAACGGGTTTTCTAGAACCTCGCGACGACGAGTTTCTTCTTTAACCTGAAGAACAACGTGCTGAAGCAACAGACCATAAAGTAAGAGGATTAAGCGTTTTCAGCTGTGGCAGGCAACTAGTTTTCTTCAAATCTATTCGAAGCAAATCCTTTCCAACTTATGCGATCACGTTCCAGGGTATAATTCCCTTCAGTCATCTACGAACAAAAAATATAAATCTTCTATTTCTTAGCATCTTCCAGTTCAAGGGTGGAATAAGTGACTCTAGTATGGTGATGGCGCTACTTCATTCGATTGAATCCCTGGGCTGGGTGAATCTCAGCTTCCTTCCAAAGCCAAAAGTCGAGCTAGCGCTGACACACCCAAGCGGGCTTCATTCTTTGGTCAGAGACCAGCACTTGGCACTGTACAATCGACTAGTCGACGGACGGTGTTCTATGGTTTAGAGCCAGTAGACTAGTTAAAGTTGGCGTTCTTATCCAGGAGTTATTTTTCCCACAAAATCACGTCGGCCCCCTTGGCGAGCAAACTTTTATGGAAATTTATCTTTTGATAAAGAGGCTGGGAATCCGAACAATTGAAAATCTTGAACATCGTTAGCAGTGCGTTTTTCTTATTGTCCCGAGTTGTAGTGCCGAGAAAAAGGAAAATATGTCTTCTTTACGAATCCATTCGAATCACACGTAGAAATTCGCACTTGAAGTTTCAAAATGAAGAAAGGAGATGATATGAACTCAAGCGTCAAGATTCCCGCGATATTGTTGTTATTAACTCGAACAGCCTTTTCAAAGTGCACAACCACTTCATGCCCCCCCCTTGCACAACTGAACCCTTTGGCAAACTCGACAAGCCATACAACATGTCCCGTTAATAATTACTGGCGTCCTAAGGGAGCGGAGGACCCATCACATCACGCATCCTACGACATGGACAGCGTCATGCATATGGTCCTTTCTGGTGACCTCTGCCACATACTGCAGCATTGCACGTTCCTCCGTGGCGGGGTCGCCTTCCTAAAGACTTCCGTTTCCCTAGTGAGTGGGTAGCTGTTAGAACCGTTGGCGACGTCAGCCCAGTTGCCCTGTTGACATGGCTTTCTCTTCCAAAAATTGTGCAGCAGTTATACGTGCAGCGTTCGCCCACCAGTGTACGCTCTTTGATAACGGAGACTTGGCCCAAAACATCATCGGCATCAGAGTTTGGAATAGATTCGCTCAAAAAAAAGCCAGTAGAGTCACAACCATCATGAGAGTGTTTGAAACATCAACCCAAAACAAACCTTAACAGCCACTAGAGGATCCTTCCGTTGCAAAAAAAACCCGAAACAAAATTTAGGTTTTTTTCTTTTACCCGGCCATTGGGGTTATTTTTTCCGTTGATTAGAAGGCTGTTGGCTTTGGAGACTGTCTGGCAATAACCATTTTTTAGACATTTTGAATAGAACATGTAGCCCTCCGGATTCCCCTGGGATCGAATGATCGCCACATGATTTGGAGATTGACAAGACCTGATTCTTACTCAGCATACAAAGGAATAAAGCAATGAAATTATTGACAGTAAACAAGAAATGGAATCACCGTGTATGAAGGAGAGCTTCAAAAGCATCAGGCTTCTGTTCATTAACCGCATCCGAGTACTTCTCAAAGTTCTTATCAACCTGTAAAAAGCAGTAGAATAGGTGCTATGAAGCACATCAAACTGGCAAGAAATTCCTGATGGAACTACTAAAACTTTTCATTTTTTCAGTGTTCCTCCGAGCAGAGCCGTGTTGAAGTGCAAGAAACCTCACAAAGCCCTCACAACTCCCTCTGATAGCGCGCCCGCGCCATTTGAAACTGTGAGCACTATTCCCAAGTCAAATTCTATGATTCGAGTCTTGAAAAGATCGAGTAACCAGCTTACCTTATGTTTATACACAAATATGAAAGTGTGTTTACTTCACGACTACTCGCTGTTGCGTTAGCGTTCTTTACAGCAGAGCTGTGAGCGTTTCGAGCGTATACCAGCGTCTGTGCAGCAGCGGTTTGAATGATCTGGGCGTCTGCCCGGGTTTGAGCGCCGGCCCAGGTCTTCAACCACACATGGATTACCTACCCTTGTCGTACGTCGCGCTCAAAACGCGGACAAAACTATCAACACACTTTCGCGCCCGGCGAGAATCGAGCGAATAGTTTCGAAGTAGTGAACCCGCTCCCTCCTCGGCTCTATTGTAAAAATAAAAATAAAACACTCCAAGAACAATAAAAGAGCTATTATGGGGAACAATGTAAAGCTTCCACTCGCAATACAGTGCTTTAGAAGAAACGCAAATCCTCCGAAAAAAGTCTCTTAAACCTTCTCGGGACACAGTTCCTGTTTATTTCCCTTTTGCCGTAAGATTAGAAGCAAAGCATGTGGCAAAAAGTTCGGGACCGTGAACACATTGTGAATTTACAATGATTGAAAAAGTTTACAAACTAGCCTTTTTTCCCAAGAGATAATCCTCGCGATTTACGAGTGACTTAGCTCCTTCGTACATCCATCCAATGTCTTTGTTGTCGGTCATTGTTTATTGCAGTAGTTTACCTGAAGAAACTTCTGTAGCATATGAATTATTCGAAGCAGTTCGACTTTCTAAAAGAAGTACCACGAGTGAGAGTAATTTTGACTAAAAGGGTTGTGAATTCAGCAGACGATACATCGCTAAAATATTAATGAAATATCATCACCGAAAATTCGAACTCCTGAGGCAAACAGTACGAGTTTCAAACGTCACCAGTTTTCTTTTTAAACATTCCCAATTTTTAAGTCACATCTAAAAACTCGCGAAAAATAATTCCTACGATACAACACACACTAAACAGCAGGTGCAAGTGTTGTAAGGCGACAAGTAGTTCGCCACGTGTGCTTTCCGTTCTCAACTTGTGAGGTGCCGTCTTGCTACTTTTTAATTAGTTAAAGAAAAACCGTTTGTATGCTTTAAGAGTATGTGTATGGTGTTTCTTCAAAAGAACGTCTTTCATTAAA